ACCGTGATGTCTGACACAGTCCCCCAGACCACGATGCCCAACACAAAGACAGACCTGGACCACAACACCCAAGACAGTCCTGGACCACAACACCCAAGACAGTTCTGGACCACAACACCCACGACAGTCCTGGACCACAACACACAAGACAGTCCTGGACCACAACACCCAAGACAGTCCTGGACCACAACACCCAAGACAGTCCTGGACCACAACACCCAAGACAGTCCTGGACCACAACACCCAAGACAGTCCTGGACCACAACACCCAAGACAGTCCTTGGACCACAATGCCCAAGACAGTCCTGGACCACAATGCCCAAGACAGTCCTGGACCACAACACCCAAGACAGTCCTGGACCACAATGCCCAAGACTGTCCTGGACCACAACACCCAAGACAGTTCTGGACCACAACACCCAAGACAGTCCTGGACCACAACACCACAACAGTCCTGGACCACAACACCACAACAGTCCTGGACCACAACACCCAAGACAGTCCTGGACCACAACACCCAAGACAGTCCTGGACCACAACACCCAAGACAGTCCTGGACCACAACACCCAAGACAGTCCTGGACCACAACACCCAAGACAGTCCTGGACCACAACACCCAAGACAGTCCTGGACCACAACAAACAAGACTGTCCTGGACCACAACACCCAATACAGTCCTGGACCACAACAACCAAGACAGTCTTGGACCACAACACCCAAGACAGTCCTGGACCACAACACCCAAGACAGTCCTGGACCACAACACCCAAGACTGTCCAGGACCACAACACCCAAGACAGTTCTGGACCACAACACCCAAGACAGTCCTGGACCACAACACCCAAGACAGTCCTGGACCACAACACCCAAGACAGTCCTGGACCACAACACCACAACAGTCCTGGACCACAACACCCAAGACAGTCCTGGACCACAACACCCAACAGTTCCTGGACCACAACACCCAAGACAGTCCTGGACCACAACACCACAACAGTCCTGGACCACAACACCCAAGACAGTCCTGGACCACAACACCACAACAGTCCTGGACCACAACACCCAAGACAGTCCTGGACCACAACACCCAAGACAGTCCTGGACCACAACACCCAAGACAGTCCTGGACCACAACACCCAAGACAGTCCTGGACCACAACACCCAAGACAGTCCTGGACCACAACACCCAAGACAGTCCTGGACCACAACACCCAGACGTCCCGACCACAACACCCCGTTGGACCACAACACCCAAGACAGTCCTGGACCACAACACCCAAGACAGTTCTGGACCACAACACCCAAGACAGTCCTGGACCACAACACCCAAGACAGTCCTGGACCACAACACCACAACAGTCCTGGACCACAACACCCAAGACAGTCCTGGACCACAACACCACAACAGTCCTGGACCACAACACCACAACAGTCCTGGACCACAACACCCAAGACAGTCCTGGACCACAACACCACAACAGTCCTGGACCACAACACCCAAGACAGTCCTGGACCACAACACCACAACAGTCCTGGACCACAACACCCAAGACAGTCCTGGACCACAACACCAAACAGTCCTGGACCACAACACCCAACAGTCCTGGAAACCAGACAGTCCTGGACCACAACACCACAACAGTCCTGGACCACAACACCCAAGACAGTCCTGGACCACAAAACCACAACAGTCCTGGACCACAACACCACAACAGTCCTGGACCACAACACCCAAGACAGTCCTGGACCACAACACCACAACATCCTGGACCACAACACCCAAGACAGTCTCTGGACACAACAACCACAACATCCTGGACCACAACCAAGACAGTCCTGATCAAACCACAACACCGACACAACAGTCCTGGACCACAACACCCAAGACAGTCCTGGACCACAACACCACAACAGTCCTGGACCACAACACCCAAGACAGTCCTGGACCACAACACCACAACAGTCCTGGACCACAACACCACAAAAGTCCTCAACCACAAACACCCAACAGTCCTCTGGACCACAGACATCCCAACCCAAGACAGTCCTAGACCACAAAAAACACAGTCCCTGGACCAAACACCAAGGCAGTCCTGGACCACAACACCAAACAGTCCTGGACCACAACACCACAAAAGTCCTCAACCACAACACCCAAGACAGTCCTCGACTACAACATGACAGTCCCAGACCACAAGACAGTCCCAGACCACACAAGACAGTCCTGGACCACAACACCAAGGCAGTCCCAGACCACAAGACAGTAATGGACCACAAGAAGACAGTCCTGGACCACAACACCAAAACAGTCCCAGACCACAGGACAGTCCCAGACCACAAGACAGTCCCAGACCACAAGACAGTCCCAGACCACAACAAACAGTCCCAGAACCACAAACAGTCCCAAACCACAGGACAGTCTCAGACCACAAGACAGTCCTGGACCACAACACCAAAACAGTCCCAGACCACAAGACAGTCCCAGACCACAAGACAGTCCCGGACCACAAGACAGTCTCAGACCACAAGGCAGTCCTGGACCACAACAAGACAGTCCCAGACCACAAGACAGTCCCAGACCACAAGACAGTCCCAGACCACAGGACAGTCCCAGACCACAAGACAGTCCCCAGACCACAAGCAGTCCTGGACCACAAAGTCCAACCACAAACAGTCACAGACCACAAGACAGTCCCAGACCACAAGACAGTCCCAGACCACAAGACAGTCCAGACCACAAGACAGTCCCAGACCACAAGACAGTCCCAGACCACAAGACAGTCCCAGACCACAAGACAGTCCCAGACCACAAGACAGTCCCAGACCACAAGACAGTCCCAGACCAACAAGACAGTCCCAGACCACAAGACAGTCCCAGACCACAAGACAGTCCCAGACCACAACAAGACAGTCCCAGACCACAAGACAGTCCCAGACCACAAGACAGTCCCAGACCACAAGACAGTCCCAGACCACAACAAGACAGTCCCAGACCACAACAAGACAGTCCCAGACCACAACAAGACAGTCCCAGACCACCACAAGACAGTCCCAGACCACCAACAAGACAGTCCCAGACCACACACACAAGACAGTCCCAGACCACAAAATCCCAGACAAAGACAGTCCCAGACCACAACAAGACAGTCCCAGACCACAACAAGACAGTCCCAGACCACAACAAGACAGTCCCAGACCACCACAAGACAGTCCCAGACCACAACAAGACAGTCCCAGACCACAAGACAGTCCCAGACCACAAGACAGTCCCAGACCACAACAAGACAGTCCCAGACCACCACAAGACAGTCCCAGACCACAACAAGACAGTCCCAGACCACCACAAGACAGTCCCAGACCACAACAAGACAGTCCCAGACCACAAGACAGTCCCAGACCACCACAAGACAGTCCCAGACCACAACAAGACAGTCCCAGACCACAAGACAGTCCCAGACCACAACAAGACAGTCCCAGACCACAACAAGACAGTCCCAGACCACAAGACAGTCCCAGACCACAACAAGACAGTCCCAGACCACACAGACAGTCCCAGACCCACAAGACAGCCCAGACCACAAGACAGTCCCAGACCACAACAAGACAGTCCCAGACCACAAGACAGTCCCAGACCACAACAAGACAGTCCCAGACCACAAGACAGTCCCAGACCACCACAAGAGTCCCATACCACAACAAGACAGTCCCAGACCACAACAAGACAATTCCAGACCACCACAAGAGTCCCATACCACAACAAGACAGTCCCAGACCACCACAAGACAGTCCCAGACCACACAAGATTCGTCCCATACCACAACAAGACAGTCCCAGACCACAACAAGACAGTCCCAGACCACCACAAGACAGTCCCAGACCACAAGACAGTCCCAGACCACAAGACAGTCCCAGACCACCACAAGACAGTCCCAGACCACACAAGACAGTCCCAAACCCACAAGACAGCCCAGACCACAAGACAGTCCCAGACCACAAGACAGTCCCAGACCACAACAAGACAGTCCCAGACCACAAGACAGTCCCAGACCACCACAAGACAGTCCCAGACCACAACAAGACAGTCCCAGACCACAAGACAGCCCCAGACCACAAGACAGTCCCAGACCACAACAAGACAGTCCCAGACCACCACAAGACAGTCCCAGACCACAAGACAGTCCCAGACACAACAAGACAGTCCCAGACCACCACAAGACAGTCCCAGACCACCACAAGACAGTCCCAAACCACCACAAGACAGTCCCAGACCACAACAAGACAGTCCCAGACCACCACAAGACAGTCCCAGACCACAACAAGACAGTCCCAGACCACAAGACAGTCCCAGACCACCACAAGACAGTCCCAGACCACAACAAGACAGTCCCAGACCACAAGACAGCCCCAGACCACAAGACAGTCCCAGACCACAACAAGACAGTCCCAGACCACAACAAGACAGTCCCAGACCACAACAAGACAGTCCCAGACCACAACAAGACAGTCCCAGACCACAACAAACACCACAAAATATTAAAACAATTAACATAAATAACCAGGAAAATCCGTCCTAACAACACAGTATCAGTTACACTGGACTAACATTATCCTCCAGTTATCTGACGAACAAACAAACATTATTCGAGACGATAGACATTACTTAAAGGCGATAGATCACAAAATAAAGCAGAGTAACAGTTGTAACAGTAGTTTCTGGAAGGAATAATAGACGTGTCTGTAATGGGACTATAAACGCACATAGGGAAATGTCAAGCAAAAGGCGGATTTAGGCCTCAATTTGGGAAAATGGAGCATCATTAATGGGGGTAATGGTAGAGGGATAATGGAGGAAAGGCCAGAGGTGATTGCCATCCATGTGAGTGTGATTTATGAGCGTCAGGGGGAGAAAATAACACAAGTTTGTCTGACATGTCGACCAGGGAGGGGTAGGTGGTGTTATTTATCCGGGACTCCTGCTGCTATTATTCACCTCCTCACCTTCTCCACGGCCTCCATCACCTGGTCCAGGTCGCCGTTCTTCAGCCCCCACACGAACTCGCTCATCACGGCTGCTCAAGGGCCCCAAAAACCGCCTAACTTAAAAATAAAAAGGAGAGACGGCCACTCTGCCTCACTCACTGAGTCACTGCGACCCCCAACATCTGATTGACTCACACTCACACTCCTACATTAAACTCTTGTAAAAAATTATTTTACCCTGTAATTTGCACCCAGAGGCACTCTTTCCCTAGTATATTTTTTTATTATACCTTGCCTAGATATGTTTAATATTCCCGTATACGTATTTATTCACATCTGTTAAATTTATTTGACGTTGTGGATAACTTCGGGTATTATTGGAAAATGAGGGAAGGATCTAGCCATTTGAAAAAAATGATTGTATAATTCTCTCAAATTACTGCTAATATTATAAATAAAACATTATTTTTACCTCTGGACTAGTGGCACATGTCAGTATAAGGACCCACAAGCATCCGTCTGTTTTAAAATAATATAAAACTGGATTAAAATACATTTCGTGTGGCTGGCAACGTATTTATCAATTATATTCATTTTTATTATATTTGATTATATTTTCGACTATAAAACTAAAGAAAAGCTTGAGCATTAGTTGAAAAATAAGTCTAATATATAAAATGTTCTGTATATTTACTAGATTATGCATTTTGCTCTTTTTACAACGACTGGATTTATTTCTTTGTATTTTTTTGTGGGTTTAATTAGTCTGTCTACTACACGAGGATACCAAGAAATAGTTATAACTATAACCATAACTTTTAAAGGGGTGGACCGGTAAGCCAGCGGAAGGCCTCGGTCAGATGTCCGAAAGCTCCAACGTCGGGTCATCATCTAAGACCCAGCGTCTGGCAACACTTGTGTTTCCTGACGAACTTGACCTAACCTAACATGAAGGTCAGTAAGGATGTAGGTCACCTGGTGACTGTTTGGAGTTTACTGGAGAGAGTTCAGGGGGTCAACGCCCCCGCGGCCTGGTCTGTGACCAGGCCTCCTGGTGGATCAGACCTGATCAACAAGGGTGTTACTGCTGGCTGCACGCAAACCAACGTACGAGCCACAGCCCGGCTGGTCAGGTACCGACTTTAGGTGCTTGTCCAGTGCCAGCTTGAAGACTGCCCTTATGCATACATAAGGGGTAATCCCCCTTATGTATGCTGGGAGGCAGTTGAACAGTCTCGGGCCCCTGACACTTATTGTATGGTCTCTTTACGTGCTAGTGACACCCCTGCTTTTCATTGGGGGGATGTTGCATCGTCTGCCAAGTCTTTTGCTTTCGTTCTGAGTGATTTTCGTGTGCAATTTCGGTACTAGTCCCTCTAGGATTTTCCAGGTGTATATAATCATGTATCTCTCCCGCCTGCGTTCCAGGGAATACAGGTTCAGGAACCTCAAGCGCTCCCAGTAATTGAGGTGTTTTATCTCCGTTATGCGCGCCGTGAAGGTTCTCTGTACATTTTCTAGGTCAGCAATTTCACCTGCCTTGAAAGGTGCTGTTAGTGTGCAGCAATATTCCAGTCAAAAATAATTAAATACACTCTTAGTGTATATATACCTGTGGGACATACACCTCCCAGTGTATATATACCTGTGGGACATACACCTCCCAGTGTATATATACCTGTGGGACATACACCTCCCAGTGTATATATACCTGTGGGACATACACCTCCCAGTGTATATATACCTGTGGGACATACACCTCCCAGTGTATATATACCTGTGGGACATACACCTCCCAGTGTTATATTACCTGTGGGACATACACCTCCCAGTGTATATATACCTGTGGGACATACATCTCCCAGTGTATATACACCTGTGGGACATACACTTCCCAGTGTATATATACCTGTGGGACATACACCTCCCAGTGTATATATACCTGTGGGACATACACCTCCCAGTGTATATACACCTGTGGGACATACACCTCCCAGTGTATATACACCTGCGGGACATACACCTCCCAGTGTATATATGCCTGTGGGACATACACCTCCCAGTGTATATGCACCTGTGGGACATACACCTCCCAGTGTATATACACCTGCGGGACATACACCTCCCAGTGTATATATACCTGTGGGACATACACCTCCCAGTGTATATACACCTGTGGGACATACACCTCCCAGTGTATATACACCTGTGGGACATACAGCTCTCAGTGTATATACACCAGTGGGACATACACCTCCCAGTGTATATACACCTGCGGGACATACACCTCCCAGTGTATATACAGTGTATAATCCTCCCCCAGTACCAACAATACCACCAGTCCGATAACATTCTTCTTTGCAAATATACAGGGTCTAAAGCCAGCAACAAACAACAAAATACCTTTCATCCGTGGACTGCTTGCAGAGGCAAAGGCAATGTTCGCGGCTTTCACTGAGACCCACATAAAGGATCACTTGGACAACGAAATATGGATCCCAGGTTACAACCTATACAGATGTGACAGAGTGAACAGGCAAAAGGGGGGTGTTGGCCTGTACATTGCAGAGTCACTTGTTTGCACAGAACTGCTTAATGCCTCAAATGATGTAGTGGAAGTTTTAGCAGTAAAGGTCGAGAACCAAAACCTAGTCATTGTGGTAGTCTACAAGCCTCTGGATGCAACATCCCAGCAATTCCAGGAACAGCTGTTAAAAATTGACCACTGTCTGGAAAATCTTCCAGCTTCTGCACCCAACATCTTGCTCCTGGGGGATTTCAACTTAAGGCACCTAAAATGGAGGAATATAGCAAATAATATTGTTGCAGTAATAACACCAGGAGGCAGCTCTGATGAAAACTCACACTCACACGAGCTTTTAAATCTCTGCACAAAATTCAATTTAAACCAGCAAATAATAGAGCCTACTAGACTGGAGAATACACTAGACCTCATCTTCACTACAATGATGATCTGATAAGAAATGTCACCATATCAAAAACAATATACTCAGATCACAACATAATTGAGGTTCAGACATGTATGCGTGGAGCCCCAGACCGACAAAATGAGACTAGTCACGAGGGAGCATTCACCAAATTCAACTTCAATAACAAAAACATAAAGTGGGACCAAGTAAACCAAGTCCTAACCGATATAAGCTGGGAAGATATACTAAGCAACACAGACCCCAACTTATGCCTAGAACAGATTAACTCGGTGGCACTCGACGTATGCACAAGGCTTATTCCTCTAAAGAAAAAGGAGGAGTAGATGTAAAATAGAAAGAGACAGGCGCTCCCTTTACAGGCGACGGAAAAGAATAACAGAGCGGCTAAAAGAGGTCAATATATCTGAATGCGTAGGGAGACACTGGTCAGAGAAATAGCAAGCATCGAACTTAAGCTAAAAGAATCCTTTAGGAGTCAGGAATCGCGGGAAGAACTAAAAGCCATAAATGAAATCGAAAGAAACCCAAAGTATTTCTTCTCCTATGCCAAATCAAAATCGAGAACAACGTCCAGTATTGGCCCTACTTAAACAAGATGGGTCCTACACAGATGACAGCAAGAAATGAGTGAGCTACTCAAGTCCCAATATGACTCAGTTTTTAGCAAGCCGCTAACCAGACTGAGAGTCGAAGATCAAAATGAATTTTTTATGAGAGAGCCACAAAATTTGATTAACACAAGCCTATCCGATGTTATCCTGACGCCAAATGACTTCGAACAGGCGATAAATGACATGCCCATGCACTCTGCCCCAGGGCCAGACTCATGGAACTCTGTGTTCATCAAGAACTGCAAGAAGCCCCTATCACGAGCCTTTTCCATCCTATGGAGAGGGAGCATGGACACGGGGGTCGTCCCACAGTTACTAAAAACAACAGACATAGCCCCACTCCACAAAGGGGGCAGTAAAGCAACAGCAAAGAACTACAGACCAATAGCAACTAACATCCCATATCATAAAAATCTTTGAAAGGGTCCTAAGAAGCAAGATCACCACCCATCTAGAAAACCCATCAGTTACACAACCCAGGGCAACATGGGTTTAGAACAGGTCGCTCCTGTCTGTCTCAACTATTGGATCACTACGACAAGGTCCTAAATGCACTAGAAGACAAAAAGAATGCAGATGTAATATATACAGACTTTGCAAAAGCCTTCGACAAGTGTGACCATGGCGTAATAGCGCACAAAATGCGTGCTAAAGGAATAACAGGAAAAGTCGGTCGATGGATCTATAATTTCCTCACTAACAGAACACAGAGAGTAGTCGTCAACAGAGTAAAGTCCGAGGCAGCTACGGTGAAAAGCTCTGTTCCACAAGGCACAGTACTCGCTCCCATCTTGTTCCTCATTCTCATATCCGACATAGACAAGGATGTCAGCCACAGCACCGTGTCTTCCTTTGCAGATGACACCCGAATCTGCATGACAGTGTCTTCCATTGCAGACACTGCAAGGCTCCAGGCGGACATCAACCAAATCTTTCAGTGGGCTGCAGAAAACAATATGAAGTTCAACGATGAGAAATTTCAATTACTCAGATATGGTAAACATGAGGAAATTAAATCTTCATCAGAGTACAAAACAAATTCTGGCCACAAAATAGAGCGAAACACCAACGCCAAAGACCTGGGAGTGATTATGTCGGGAGGATCTCACCTTCAAGGACCATAACATTGTATCAATCGCATCTGCTAGAAAAATGACAGGAAATGGAAAAAGAGAACCTTCAAAACTAGGGAGGCCAAGCCCATGATGACATTCTTCAGGTCACTTGTTCTTTCTAGGCTGGAATATTGCTGCACACTAACAGCACCTTTCAGGCAGGTGAAATTGCCGACCTAGAATAATGTACAGAGAACTTTCACGGCGCGCATAACGGAGATAAAACACCTCAATTACTGGGAGCGCTTGAGGTTCCTAAACTGTATTCCTGGAACGCAGGAGGGAGAGATACATGATTATACACCTGGAAAATCTGAGGGATAGTACGAACTTGCACACGAAAATCACTCACTACGAAGCAAAAGACTTGGGCAGACGATGAAACATCCCCCAATGAAAAGCAGGGGTGTCACTAGCACGTTAAGAGACCATACAATAAGTGTCAGGGGCCCGAGACTGTTCAACTGCCTCCCAGCACACATAAGGGGGATTACCAACAGACCCCTGGCAGT